ACACAGAATATTCATTATTAAAAACAACAAACTTTTGTTTAAAATGATTTCTATATTATTATAAACAAGTTTGTTTTAAAATTTTGATTGTACACCAATGGCACCACTCATACTAAAACAGCTAACGGTGCTCCTATGGAAGAGCTGGATCATGCGAAGGCGGCACTGGATGTCGACCCTATTCGAGCTGTTCCTACCCATACTGATCGGCCTAATCATGGCCTACACTCAGTATAACGGATCCAAAGACAAATCGCTAACCAATAAAAACGAGGGCTGGGAGGCGCCCACCTATTACGACGATTACACGAACATTGATGGCCCGCATAACTACACGATGGACAGGCTGTTTGACGACAAATGGTACGCGGATAACGAGTACTATATATACTACTCGCCCAACACCTCCCGGTTCGCCAATGCCGTGATGAGTGGGTTTGAGCGCCGGTTTAATGTCACAGAATTTGGTAGTTTTGAGTCCGAGGACCAGATGGTGGAGCGCCTGTATGTGATGGACCAGACCAACGTGTTTGGGGTGGTATTCATGGATGACAGTACCGATAGTGCCCTCAAGATTAAGATTAGGCCCAAGTCGTCGAGCATGGCTCAGATGATGTCCCTACTTCACCCGGATAAGGCACAGGGAGGCCCCTCCTATTACTACGACCAGAATAGTGAACAGTACGACAGCGGGTTTGTGAGGACACAGATAGCGGTGTATGAGTTGTTTGCAGACTATTTGGCTAAAAGTGTTAACTCGACAAATGTGAAGGAAGTGATCACTCATAAGCACCCGTATCCCAGGTATCTCAAAGTCACGCAAATGGGTGAGTACTATTTGATATTTGTTTGATATTTACTTTTAAAAATTATTTATAGACAAACCAATATATAATATAATACCAGAATAAAATTATTTTAAAGCTATTAGCTTTAATCATGTATTATACATAATAAATTAATAGTAATTTAATAATTAATAGTAATAATAGTATAATAAATTCGCTTCTACTAACTTTTAATTTTAGATTAAATAGTCATTTTGACAAAACATTTTTATTATCAGGCATAATTGGTTTACTATTAATTTTGAATTAAATTCTTTACCTATATTATGCACATATAATCAGCGTATTATCAAAATATTTAAGGAAATTTTAAAAACTAGACACATTTTAAAATATTAATTTAAATCGTTATTATAGGGCCTCTGAGTGCATTGGATATGTTAGGACTGGTTGTAATTACTTCATACATAATAATGTGTCCATTGATTGTGAAACGTATTTGCGATGAAAAGGTGGCCAAAGCTAAGGAGATGTTGAAAATGATGGGAATGAGTGATTGGGTGTTCTGGGGCTCACACTTCATCAACTACTTCACCATAATGTTCATCCAATCCATATTCACAATGGTTTTATACTGCTATGGTTTCGGTCGCATACCATATGTCATGTACAGCAATGCATTCATATTCTTCATATCACTCGTACTCTTCAATGTGTCCACAATATTGAGTTCAATGCTATTGACCACAGTTTTCAACAGACCTGTCATCGGTGTAGTGGTCAGTGTTATACTGTTTGAGGTCTCGCATGCCGTACCGATGGGTGTATTGAACCCCTCATACAATCCCAACATTAATATCGAGGGAACTAATGGTTGGCGTATATTCACTAGTTTTATGCCCAACTCCGGCATGCAATGGATGCTCAGTGTTATGGGACAGTGCGAGTCCTATCACTATGGGGTGACCTGGACTAATTTGTGGGATGATGTACCCAAATATGGACGTTTCAATGCCGGATTAATTTTGTTAATCATGTTTTTGTCCATTTTTATATACGGTACACAAATATCAGAAGTGATGGTGTTTTAAAACTTTTAATCAAATTTAATTTAATTTTAGGTATACTTATCTGGTATGTGGACAATATCTGGCCCTTTCAGTTCGGAATCCCAAAACCATTTTATTATCCATTCCTTCCCTCCTATTGGTTCCCTAAACGACATAAATCTGCGGAAACTAGTGATGAGATTAAGATAACTAATCTTCAAAATGCTAATCACTTCGAGAGGGAACCCATGAATACAAAGGTTGGCATAAAATGTCAAAATTTAAACAAAAGGTTTGATAACAAGACGGCTGTCCACGACATGTCTTTGAATATATATTGCGGACAAATAACAGTCCTTTTGGGACATAACGGCGCCGNCATGCGTTGCCATCGCTCACCGTCTCATCGCCGGTAAGCATACGAAAAGTGGTTGTCTTTCCGGCGCCGTTCACTCCCAACAAACCAAAGCACTCCTCCGGATGGACACCAAAACTCAGTCCATTCACCGCTTGAATGGGTATTACTTTTCCGAAAGTTTTCGCCAAATTCCTGACTACCAGTGCTTCAGAGTTGATGTTATAGTTTTTGATTAACTTCGCGACCCGTAGTTTCTCTGACACCACATCCGAGTCCTCCGCATCCCTTCCCTCCATCTGAACACTGCTTTCGCCCAATACTACACTCGCTGTTTGGCCATCCCTTTCGCTGTATTGGACAGTCGTGTTGTTTTGTTTTGAATTAATTGTAAATGAATTTATAATATTTTTAAAATAGCCTTCAATCACGAGTAATAGGATAATAAATAGGACACCGGTAGCTAACATGTATACCAGTTCCACACCGACACCTAATTACATGAGCTGTGAGTAAATGATCAATATGGAACTTTATATAAAGTTCACTGTCTTAAATAAATACCCTGATCATTCCATTGCAATGCATTAATCTCATCGTAACACTGACCACTGGGTCGACACAAATCCTTACAACAGCCCCATTCCGGTGTCTTTTTGGTGAGTCCCGCGTGACATGTCTTTCCCAGAAACTCTTGAGTACTCTTATCGCACGCATCCTTATAAGAGCCTAATTTATACAACTTTTTGATACCAGTGCTCATTGAGAACAATGGCAATAGGCGGGCCACCATTTCTACTTTAGCCAGGATATCCTCATCCAATATGTGAAGCCCCGTTTGGTTTAAAAAGCCTATCATTCCTAAGGCCAGTACGAGTGCCAGTCCTGTCAACAGGTATACGATCACCAGTATTGCGAAGCCAGTGGACGGCAACTTCAGCCGTAATGAGAATATATACGCCAAGGGAATGGTAGATATGCCGAAGAATAGGAACAGTAAGAATAGAGCACCGCCTATACTCGCTGCATGAATCCGATTATAAGCAATAGGTATACATTAATACTGTATCGATAAATATTTGGTTTATAAATTATAATGTCTATTATTTTTGACATACCGGTGCCGATGAAAATTTTATTCCAATCAAAAATAGCGAATATAATGAATAGGAAAACACTGGCAATTAAATGGTTGATGAGATCCCAGAGATAACTGGCCGACCAAAAGGTAGCACTCGATATGCCGTTCATTAGTTGCAATAGTTTTGAATTAGTAATGCGTTCGTGAATTGGGAACAACACATAGGAGGCACCGATGAAGGGGACGGTTAGGGGAACCAGTAGCAGACACGAGAAAATCATTGTTATGCCTATGGTTGACATGGTGTTCCCACTTTGATCGTCCACTATCGGATGGTTGTATAGTGTGAGCGACGGTTTACTTGAATACTTATGCTTCAGAAGCGTTTCGTATAAGAAGTTGATGGACACCGGGAGTGAATGTGTGGCCTCTTTGTTATACCAGGGAATGAGAATCAGTTGATCGGTATTGTCATCACTGGTTGTCGTATTAATCTGAGCGCCGACCAGATATGTGTTGATGTATTCAGTTATGTCATCCCCTTTATTGCCCTCAAGTGTCCAATTGTTTGGGTTTTCTATCATTTATTATAAAATTATACTGTATTTCAATATTATTGAAAATTATTTACTGTTATACGAGATTTATACGACACTACATACCAGTGATAATTTCTGTGGACATGTCTTGTGTTTTGGACACTTGTATGTAGATATCATTGAGATCTTGAATGCCTGACTGTATGAATCCCTGAGTCTTGCCATACATTTTCAAATTCATTTCTACATTTTCAGTGGTGATCGTAACAGCTTTCTTAATGGCGTAATCCAGCAGAAGTATACACATGAAAAGTATGGCCGGAAGTACTGTCTGCATGACAATCATTGGCCAATATCTTTTGGAGTAGTGGAACCGTTTCAAGAATAGGGCCATAAAGTGTTGGACCCACAGACGGAAACCACTATTTTTACGGATCGGTAGAGATAATAGGCTCTCGTCTTGAAGTGAAGATTTTGAGTATTTGTCATCAAATGTGTCGATGGATTCGTTGCCGACACTTAGGAAGACGTCTTCCATTGTAGTGACAGTCAGTCCATAGGTTTCAATATTGAGCTCATCCTTTCTGGTCTCCAAATTAGTGAACAATTGGACCAAAAGTTGATTTGTATTATGACTTTCATTCTTATGGTATTCTTCGCCTTCGAGTGAATAAATGATTTCTGAATTGATTTCACTTTTGATGTCAGCGTTTGGCATAAAATTGCGGATAATATGCAGAACTGTCTGTCCATTGAAGTCAAGGTTTTTAGCGATTCTCAGGTGATATCCGGCGCCGAAAGTCCTCTTCAGAAACATCGGAGTTCCGCAACATTTCACGACTCCTTCACTCATTATAGCGATCCGATCGCCCAATGCCTGGAAAGGGATTAAATTCTCAGGTGATATCCGGCGCCGAAAGTCCTCTTCAGAAACATCGGAGTTCCGCAACATTTCACGACTCCTTCACTCATTATAGCGATCCGATCGCCCAATGCCTGGGAAAGGGATTATAGAAAGGATTAGGACATGGATTAGAGATATAGTGAAGTGAATGATGGCTCACATCCGCCTCTTCCATGTAATGAGTCGTCAAAAGTATGGTTCTCTCGGATCTGATATTCTGGAGGACATCCCACAGGTGTCGACGCGCTTCGGGATCCATACCAGAGGTCGGTTCGTCCAGAATCAGGATCTCTGTGTTGGCTATCATTGCTATTCCGAGACATAGTTTACGTTTCATTCCTCCGGACAGTTGTGTAGACATCGTATGCTTTTTGTCACTCAAACCAACCAAACCTACGATTTTGTTGATCTCATTGTCCACTTGAGCCCAGGGATGGTCTTTCAGGATAGCATAGAGTTTGAGGTGTTGGTAGACATCCAACTCATTGTACACTATATTCTCCTATTTATGCACAAGAATTCATACATCAATTCAAATATGTGTTGAATCTGAGGACCAAATCATTTCAAACCTGAGGACACAATCCAATACTCTTTCGCGCTTTTGTTGTCTGACTCTTGACATCAAATCCATTGATAAACGCGTTTCCAGACGTCGGCGGAAATATACCGGTTATCATATTCATTGTCGTTGTCTTTCCGGCGCCGTTATGTCCCAAAAGGACTGTTATTTGTCCGCAATATATATTCAAAGACATGTCGTGGACAGCCGTCTTGTTATCAAACCTTTTGTTTAAATTTTGACATTTTATGCCAACCCTTGTATTCATGGGTTCCCTCTCGAAGTGATTAGCATTTTGAAGATTAGTTATCTTAATCTCATCACTAGTTTCCGCAGATTTATGTCGTTTAGGGAACCAATAGGAGGGAAGGAATGGATAATAAAATGGTTTTGGGATTCCGAACTGAAAGGGCCAGATATTGTCCACATACCAGATAAGTATACCTAGATAACATTAGTCATGAATCATTAAAATTAGAATAATATAAACCTCATGTAATATTAGATAATCATACCATAGAAGAATATGGACGCAAATTGCATTAGCATAACAGCTCCCATATTGAAATGCCCGTATTTGGGCACATCCTCCCACAGGTTACTCCATGTGACACCTTTACCATATTTTTCTACCTGTCCCATAAGACTCAACGCCCACTGCAAACCAGAGTTGGGTAGCAAACACGTCAAGAATCGCCACCCAGTAATAGCCGACACCTCAAGGTTGTCGTTAAACGAGGGACTCATGAGACCCATCGGTACGGAATGGGAGACTTCAAAGAGGATAACACTGACGACTACGGCAATGACAGGTCTGTTGAAAACTGTGGTCAATAGCATTGAACTCAATATTGTGGAGACATTGAAGAGTACGAGTGATATGAAGAATATGAATGGATTGCTGTATACTATGAACGGCAGACCTCCGAAGCCATAGCAAAGGAAAATCATTGTGAATATGGATTGTATGAACATAATAGTGAAGTAATTGATGAAGTGTGAGCCCCAGAACACCCAATCACTCATTCCCATCATTTTCAACATCTCCTTAGCTTTGGCCACCTTTTCATCGCAAATACGTTTCACAATCAATGGACACATTATTATGTATGAAGTGATTACAACCATCCCTAACATCTCCACTAAATTACCTGTTATATACATACAATAATTATTATTAAAAGGTATGCTATTATTACTTAACTTTAACTTTTTTAAAATTCTAATTTGCTAACTTAAATTACTCTTACAATAGTATTCATAATAATGTATTATATTAATACACTTACGCTGTAACCTTAATTAGTTATAAGGTATAATACAAGTATCCTGTATAACATTAAATTTATTAAAATTACAAAATTAATTGTATTAGGATAGAACTAGAATACTACAGTATTACTAAATTTTAATTTAAAAATAGTTTATAAATGAAATCAAAGCACTTACCAACTGATGAAGTCTTGAGGTATGAGGGATAAGGGATGGGATGAGTGACCACTTCATTCACGTCCGCCCCCGCTTCCTTACTCTTGCCATTAATTTTCAAATACTTCATATACGAATCACTGACAGCTATTTGAACCTGGACAAATTTGCGCTCGTATGTGGTGCTTGAGTCACCATAACCGGCCGGCCCTCCGTTATAGCTGTCCGGGTGCAACCGTTTCACTGAGTTTACAATCGAGTAGTCCGTTGATCTGATCTTCATTTTGAGGCCAATGTCGCCATTTCTCTCCAAAAACACGCCATACATGCCATTCTGTTCACTGAGGAACAGGTACTTAACCATCTCATCCTCGGTGGCAAAACTGCCAAACCCTGTGACCGACTCTTTAGGAAAGTTCTTCATTATAGCGTTGGCGAAGTCCGATGTGTTTGGGGCGTAGTATATATAAGTATCCCGGNATGCCATTCTGTTCACTGAGGAACAGGTACTTAACCATCTCATCCTCGGTGGCAAAACTGCCAAACCCTGTGACCGACTCTTTAGGAAAGTTCTTCATTATAGCGTTGGCGAAGTCCGATGTGTTTGGGGCGTAGTATATATAAGTATCCCGGTCATACCCTTGGTTTTGTGCGAATATATTGCTCATATTGTAGTGTTTCTGGTCATTTTTGTCATCGTAATATTTGGCTGGCTCCCACCCCGATTTCTTATTGTCCAGTGACATGTCATTGCGATATATAGCTGCCATAGCTATACCAATTACTATGGGGAATAGGAGTTCAAAAAGACCTGATATCCAGTGCTGGCGACGGATTATCCAGCTCTTCCATAGGAGCACCGATAGCTGCTTCAGTACGAGTGGTGCCATAATTATCAAGGCAATTGTGTGGCAAAGTTTTATTTAATTATCTATTTTATCACAGTTTATGTTTACAAAACATTTAATTAAAAATATAAAATATAATTATAAGTTTTATGTGTTATATTTTGTTAGCATATGTTTGATGCTAACTAAGCTTTTGGCATTCATTTGAAGTTTACCTGAAGTTTAAATACCAGTTCACTTTACACTTATATTATCACAGCTTAATAAATTGATATATTCTGCATGAATCACTCTATTTATTATACTGATAATGAATATAATATAACATTATTTCACTTTTGTAATGAAAATGCTATTTAATAATGTTATATATAATACAATTGATTATTTCATGTATGAGTTGTAACGATCGAAACTTTTTTGTAGAACTGATTGTTATAGTAGTAATACAAATGCTATTATATATTGACTGTTATATAAAATAATGTCACTATCATTTGTACCTGGCAAATATCAAGTTTATTTTATTATAGAATTGATTGTTTCCATGGTGTAAGGTCATTAGGACAGGTATGTAATGAAGGTATAAAGTAAGAAACACTTACTAATATAATGCCAAACATTATTAAAATGTGTAGATTAAAATAATAGTTTTATTTTTATGATTAATTATATAATAAATATTAAATAAATAAATAAAATCAATATTTAGCTAAATATATAATTTATGACTAATTAAATTTGTGTAACATTAATTGTTTATTATTATTAAATGTTGTTTATCAAACTAACAATCAATATATTATAAATATTAAATAAATAAATAAAATCAATATTTAGCTAAATATATAATTTATGACTAATTAAATTTGTGTAACATTAATTGTTTATTATTATTAAATGTTGTTTATCAAACTAACAATCAATATATTATAATATAATTATTATGAAATATAAAAATTATTCATTTAAAATATATTTTTAAAATAAACAGGTACATAAAATATCAGAAATTAAAATTGCAAATGATATTTTGATAAGTAATGCCAACGTTATGTAATTGTTTATTGTGGCTGTTTAAATAATGATAATAGTAAATTATTCTTAAGCAACTTATAATAATAAAAAATTTCTAATTAAAAATTCCTATAAAAAAATTATTTTAGAAAATGTTATAAAAAAATTATTTATAATTTGCAATGGTATTATAGTTGTTATTTTTTTTAAATAATACATAATTTATTATTTCATAAATAGTTTTTACAATAATCCGTAGACATTTATAAATTAAATAATAAATTATAGATTAAAATGATTTATTTTATGATATTTTATATAAATCATATTTGCTTGAAATAATACATAATTTATTATTTCATAAATAGTTTTTACAATAATCCGTAGACATTTATAAATTAAATAATAAATTATAGATTAAAATGATTTATTTTATGATATTTTATATAAATCATATTTGCTTGTTTATTCATTATTCTGAATCTCAGCATGGGAATATTACAATATGTGTTGAAAATATTTAATGAATTTGCCTCACCTAGGAATTTATCAATTTTGTTATTTTTGCTACAGGATATCCATTTATTAGTAATATTGTATTACTAATACAACAAATAAATTGTGTTCAAATTAGCCAATATTTTGATAATGTTTTTAAAACAGTGAAATATTCATTTCAATTAAATATAGTACAATATAAATTTATTTTATTTTAAGTTAATTTAATATACAGTAAGATATATGTTATTTGAATTTCATAACTCTACTTTTTTATAAGTTTCAAAAAGGTTTCATAAGTTATTTTGTTACTATTTATTTTATAATAAAATAATACTATTTTATTATTAGTTTATCAAGTAACATGCAATTTATAAATGTTAATGTTGATAAGACTGGACCAAATGCACTAGGGTTGAGTGTGATAGCACCTACAAGTAACAGTAATAAATTATAATTAAT